CTCTCCCCTCCTTGGATATATTTTTCCTCTTCTACCTTTTCTTCCTTCCTCTTTCTTTCACTTTAAGATAAGGAATTGTGTTTTGAAATTTGTATGTGTGCATTTTGTATCTCCCCTCCTATTTTGGTATTTTTATCTATTTGTGCGCCATGGCATTACTTTTGTAGCTTATATTTTATACTCCTCACCTTTCAACTTTCAACTAAATGTGTTTAGTTTCATAAGTAAGTTATACATTGTAACAATTTTAACAAGGGCAGGAATCAAACTGCCCTTCCCTGTATCAGGCTGGCCCCTGAAAGAGCGAGTGAATCAGTGATTGAATGTGTAACATGGTAGCAGGCAGCAATTAACACCTAAGGAAACTGCAGATCAACCAACAGAAGAACTCAATAGAAGACAATGTAACAACCGGGAAATCTCTAAACCTCACTGATCAAGGGCTAGAAGCCCTGGCCTGAGTTAATCAACACCGGGGACCAACTTTTGGGCTCAATATCTCCAAATTGACCACTCCCAGAGCCCTATTCAAAATTCATCAACAGACTCCCAAACCTGCACATACATGCGGACGACCCCTGGGGCTGACAGATGCCATCCAGTAGCCACCGAGGGGGGAAGCTCCATGAGGGTCAACAACCCCTGGATTGGGCAAACCTGAAAACTGGGGAGTCACCAAAGTCTGCCAAAGACAGATAAAAAGCAGTGAAAAGTGACCCTCATGTAGGATAGGTATACCTGACTCTTGTAGCTTGCTAGTGTGTGTGTGTGTGTGTGTGTGTGTGTGTGTGTGTGTGTCAGCCCCAAGTTTTATGAGTTAACTTCATTGCAGTGTTTCAATCCGCCTAATAAACCAGAATTTTAAGGATCCCGAGTTGGACATTTGTAGCCAACAGAAGAATGATGTCCTGGGATTTGCTTGAGAAGCATCTATGGATGCAAGCCAGCGTTTTGCTCGCTTTACTACCCGCAGCATCACATTGAAGGCTCATGTTCATCTCATGGTCAATCATGACCCCCAAGTCCCTTTCCTCCATAGTGCTAGCCAGTGTACCACTGCCGAGCCTATAAGCATGCTGCAGGTTTTTCTTCCTAAGGTGGAGTACCTTGCATTTTTCAGCATTAAACACCATCAGGTTCTCATCTGTCCATTTCCTGAGCCTGTCAAGGTCAGCCTGGATCACCCTCCTGTCCTCAGGAGTGGATGCTTTACCCCAAAGTTTAGTATCTTCGGTGAACTTATCCAGTCCACTTGTGACTCCAATGTTCACATCATTAATGAAGATCAATGACTTTTCTGAAGTCAAGATATACAACATCCATCTCTTCTCCCTTGTCCAGGTGATAGGTCACCTGGTCGTAAAAGGAAATGAGATTGGTCAAGCAAGACCTACCCGCAACAAACCCGTGCTGGCTATCCGTCAGGATTCTGCCATTGGCCAGTCCATTGAGGATGGCCTCTTTGATGATCTTTTCTAAGACCTTCCCCGGAATAGAGGTCAGACTGATGGGCCTGTAGTTTGCCGGGATCCACTTTCCTCCCTTTCTTGAAGATAGGCACCACATTGGCCTTCTTCCAATCTTCAGGAACTTCACCAGAGTGCCAGGAACTCTCGAAGATCCATGCCAGGGGCTGAACTATGACGCTTGCCAGCTCCTTGAGTACTCTTGGGTGTAAACCGTCAGGGCCAGCTGACTTGAAGGTGTCCAGCCTCTCAAGGTGTTTCTTCACAAGGTCAGCATTGATCTGGAGGGCAAGGGATCTCCCTCACCCGGGCCTTGCTGTCCCGTAATGGGCAGGGGCAGCCCATGGGACTGATGAAAAACCGATGCAAAGTACTCATTTAGTAGGTTGGCTTTTTTCTGGACGTCGGTTGTCAGTTGTCCCATCTGGTTTAGCAGGGGTCTAATGTTGCCCTTGGTTTTCCTCCGGCTCTTCATGCATCTAAAAAAGGACTTTTTATTATCCTTGATACTTGTAGCTAGTTGGAGTTCAGTTGCAGCCTTGACTTTCCTTTTTCACTCCCTGCAGGTCCGGACCATTGCGGAATATTCCTCCTTGGAGGAGGATCCTGTCCTCCATTCTTTGTAGGTCTTACTTTTTCACTGCAGGAGGTCCACTGGTTCCCTGCAGAGCCAAGGAACTCACAGCAATATATTTAGCCACAATATAAAGGTCACATCTTATTAAAACTTAGCGTGAGGACATTTAACCACTTAAGAGCTACAGCATGTTTCGTTTAAGAACAAAAGAAGATAACCACTGTCCCTAAAAAGCCAAGTTTCAACGTAAAATCCATGCATACAAAAGTATCATGAAAATTGTAAAGGAAATAGAAAACCTTTAGAAAAATAGGGACCTAAGAGGACCATTTTCATATATGTATATATAAAAAGAAAATATTGCCTGATTATCATTCTTCTGCCTTTGCCATAAGTCCCTCTTTCAGTGACTTAGAATTTAGTTCTCCCTGGTGAATATCATCATGAGGCATGTTAATGTTTCTCTCTTTTTCTGTCTATCAACTAGCCAAGTAGAAGGCAGGGTAGATTTATACTTTATAGACTAACCAAAGTAGATTATATTTAGCATAAGCTTTCATAGAATAAAGTTAACTTCATAAGATGCTGAATTCAGACCAACATGGCTAACTATGTCTATCAACTAGCCAACTTATCTGCACAATAAAACAAAAAGATTTCTATTTTACAGTACCCATATATTATACCGAACACCCAAACTATTATTCTATCCCAGTGATTCTCAACCATGAACGGTGCATGCCCCTGGTGGCTGGGGGGGCACAGCGGTGATGGCAGGAGCATGGTGGCAGTAAGCGGGGGAGCTCCTGCAAATGCCGCCACCAGCAGGGGGAGGAGGGGATGGTGAGCACCGACCAAAGGTTGGTGACCACCCACAGCTGCCACTAGCAGCGGCGGCGGGCAGCAGGAAACGGACTACCTGCAGACGCTGCTGGCAGTGTCGGCAACGGGGTGGCAACCATCGGCGGCACCTTTTTGCACCCATGCGTCGTCCCTGTTCTCAACCTGTTTTTAGACTCAAGGCACCCTTTGTTACTCAAAGCATTCTGATTTTTTTTAACACTATGGATTCCTATTTGAAATCTTTGGGTGCATCTTGTTAATCACGTTCACACACCTAATGGTGCTAATATTATGTGGAACCTTTGGCACCCTTGAACAGATCTCAAGGCACCATTGTTAGGAATCTCTGCTCTAGCCTAAAAAAATCCACATAAAAAAGACGACATAATTTCTTCCATTTTGCAGAGATGAAAAGTGAGGCACAGCGTAGTCCGAGGCAAAACTCAAAACTAAACTCAGTATACATTAGAAAATATACGGCAGTATGTCGTGTTCTTACTGCACCGTCTTCATAATAATATCTCCTGAATACACTTCTGGAATATGTTCAGATATGATTATCATTTGTATGCAATTCAGTCTCTCTTTTGTTTTTGTTTTTTTTTTTGGAGAAAAGCAATGGAGTTTTTATTTAATTTAATTTTGGACTACATTTTTAAGAGCACCTTTGTCTTATTTTTCAAAAGGACTTAAAGGCTGCTGAACGTGGATGCAGAGATTTTTTGAAAAAAAAGTATGCTGGAAGTGGCAAGACATGAAATGGTCCTTAGTTCTTGCACCCAAATGAAAAAGAACATCCTTCTCTCTAGATGCTATCAGAATATGTGGACAAAGTATCTATGTTACTATCAGTGGTCCATGCTGAGTCTCACCTGTGAACTAGACAAGTCCTCTACACACCATTTCCAAAGACTCAATTTCCAAATAAATCTGGATAAGAAAGTCAGTTTGTTCCCATCACATCAATCCATTCTACTTCTGCCAAGCCAGTCAGGGCTACCCTTTTTAACAGGCAAGCTGCAAATTAGCTCCTCTGCCCGATTTGATGCTCTGCCTTCTATTCCAAGCCCAGTGCTCCCCATCTGATCTGCTGCTCTGCTTTCTGCTTCCTACCCTGTCTGCCATTGTGCTGCCAATCAACTGCGTGTTGCATCTGGCAACCACTGGCTGCCCCTGTACTAACATTATGTTGGTTTCTTTTTCTTGTATGCTTTTTGAAGTAATGGGTCTGCATGTAATCAATTAGGGTGGGGGTGCGCAAAGGTTTGGAATCCTTTCAAAAGAGGAATTTTTCAAAAGGTATGTTTGTATATTCTAATTGTTGTGTGCGAGTCAGCTGAGAATGATTCAAATGCAACAACACTGTTGACTTTAACACTGACTCCTTTATGCTGTGCCCATACCTTCAATGTACAAGGGCCATAAAGGGTTTTTTTTGTATATTTCAAATACAGCACATCAAACAAGTGTGGTGGCTGTCATAGATTACCTCCAGAAGTACGTTGTTTTTTTTTCATAATTATGTGGTGTTTTTTAAACCCCAATTGTATGGTAAATTTCCTCGGATATCAAGACAAAAATAAACAAGTGCTGCTTCTCATGATTTTTCACGTAGCTTCAGAAGTGACTAAGTTAGCAGACTATAGAATTATATTTAAAAGTTAAAAAAAATAAACAAGTTCAGTTAATGGAACATTAGGATTTGTTCTATGTAACATAATTTATTCTGTGAAATTTAGAAAGCTGCACTGTAATTCACTGCAGTAATTAAATAAGCTGTCTAAGTACAGAACTCTAGAATGAGTAGTACACACTCACAACTCATTAAAATTCCTAAAAATAGTACAAAGTAATTTCACAAAAAGATGTAAAAGGAAAATGTATGAAGTAAAGTGTCCCTTAAATCATGAAAACATGTTTCTCCAAACCTCTAATATTAAGAGAACACTTTGAAATTCTTAACGTATCAAAAACTCCCTCCCCACATGTGCTGTAAATTTTGTTTAGATTCCAGATTACTATTAAAACAATGTAAATTACTGACTACCTGAAGAAGTTCTAGATACTGTAGAGCTAAAAAATTTGGCTTATAAAAAACTTTAAAATTACTGTACCTTTAGATTGTATTTATGTGCACCATCCAAAATAATAGGTACCAAATCATCAGTAGGTTCCCCATTTTCATCAGCCATACCAGGTGGGTACCAAGAAAGAGCTATTACACCTAGAATATGAAAAACTTGAGTTATGCCATCCAAAATTAGTTGATGCCTACTAAAGGTTTAAGGGGAAAAATGTATAAATGTTCATTGTGACATACATCAGTAGCATACATTGGTAGCTAATTTACAAGTATTGCAGTCATGAGCAAAGATATTATGCATAAAAGGTATTTAAAGATATACCAAAAAATAAATTTAAGCAATACTTTTTATTATAAAATAGTAATAATCAAGGACAGGGCTTACAAAGAACTTCTGCAAATGCAGCTCTATATGTAGTGCTCCTTGTAATTGGTGCACCTGCACACACACATCTGGCAACAGCATGCAGACAGACACATAAATAACAAGCAGAAATGAAAGAAAGAAAAAAAAAAGCAGAGGTGGATTTTAAGTGAGCTGCATAATTCCTATCCCTCTATTTAGTGATGATAAATCTAATTGTATCTTATGGTAAATTCTTAGGCTGGCCAGAGCGTCTTTACCTTAATAAGAAACGTAGCTTATGTTAATATTATCTCTATTGGTCCTTATAAGAACTGTATAGTTGCAAATATGAAACTGTATAGCTGTAAATATGAAAATCTGCCTTATTTTGAAACTAAGTTGCACACACAATATTTGCAATTTAAGCTATGTTAGTTTGGAGATTTGTCACATAGCTTACTGTCTAAGAAATGAGATTGAGGATACAGCTTTACTAATAATTCTAAGCAAGGTTTGAAGAAGTAGCATAATTAAAACTGTTTTCTAAGTTTGGGTTGTTCTTGTTAAAGAGACAAGTGGATGCCTAGAAATCAGTTAAAATCAGTTTTGGAAAGGCCTAGACACTGCTGTTAAAATATTTATTAAAACCAGGTGACATATAAAAGATATCTTTGATCACCCATTTTAGGGGATATCTCCATTGTTAGGAAATCACTGTAACACTGTTCTTCCAAGAGGCAATATGCCTCTAACTTTTTACTTCATTTCTCAGTAATATTCAGTTATAATTCATTGAATATACTTCAGTTACTGAACCCAAACTGTTTCTACATACTAACCATACATCTAGTGTTTACAACCAAAATGTAAATTATTACATAAAGCCATTACTCAACACTGCCTTTTCACAATATTCTGACTGAAGGGAGACTGGCTACTGCCTGTGGATCAAGGGCAGTACAGTCCTTGTGTGCATCCCTATCCAGTCAGACTATAAATCATACAGACCGTGAAGAAGCAAGACTAAAAAGCACAACCTTATATACTATTTATGGAAAAAAACAGCAATTCCATTTATTGGTTTATGAATCTGTTCAATACGATTATTTTCTGTACTCAGCATTTTAAAAGACAGGAAAGAATACCATTTTACAATAAACTTAGGGCCTAGACCAAAAAGGGTCTTAGGCAGGGGTGGGCAAAATGCGGCTCGCGGGCTGGATGCGGCCTGCCAGGCCATTCTATCTGGCCTGCAGGGCCCCTAAAAAAAAATGTAGAAAATTAATATTTATCTGCCCGTGGCTGCCTGCCATGCGGCCCTCAATGGCTTGCCAAAACTCAGTTAAGTGGCCCTCCACCCAAAATAATTGCCCACCCCTGCTCTTAGGGGTCCAGTTTCCAGAATAAAATCAGAAACTGAAGTTTGGTGCCTAAGATCCTGTATCAGCATCAGTACAGGCAGCACAGTGAGTAAGATGGATGCCCAAATTAGCCAACAGGAAACACCAAAGAGGGTTGTGTTTAAACAGCCAACTCTCCTAGATTTAGCTGTTTATCTACAGCCTGGAGTCAGGCATCTATGAGAGACTGGGATTCACAGCCTCACATCCACCCTGAACTCAGACACTGATACACTTCTTGGTTTAGGGGAAACTCATTCTTCCCTTTAAAATTTGGGCAGTACAGGTGATGTCCATATTTTATGTAACAGGCAAGTTATATAAACTAGCTTGTCAACTGCCCAGGTTTTTAGACCCTCCTCAGAAAAAAACATACAACAAACAAAACAAAAACCCAGGTTCTGGACCCTCCTCAGCCTGAGAAGATTCAAATCCAAACTTCTCATCTCCCAGTTGAAGCTGTGCCATGGGAGAATGCAAAATTCATAAAGCAAAAGGGAAGGCAAGGAGGGAGGAGTGCATCTCTGTACCCCAGTCAAGAGGGTATTCATCTAGGTTGAGTCCTATTCCCAGTATTGTTTATTTTATCCAATGGTAAAACCCATGCACAGTATTACAAACAATGAAGGGAATCCAGGTCTACCCCTCTCCCTCTCCTAGCCTAATAAGTCAGAAAGAAGTTAAGATAACAAAATCAGACGACTGACACTGGAATGCTATTTGAATCTTAAATAAACCACTCACAAGGTCTAACAAAACAGGAATGATACATTAGTTAAACCTCCTACATGTAGATTGGTCAGAAAGTCAACTGTGCCATTTTGAAGAGCCACAGATGCATACAGTAATTCAGTCACAGAGGACTGTGAAATCAGAAAAGAAGAAGGCTAAACAAAGCTAGAGGAAGACTTTAGGCTTCTTGCCTTAATTTTATGAGAAATTCAGCACAAGCTAAGCCACTGGAAAAAGAGCAATATATGGACATGTAAAATATGGGGAAGATGGATAATTGAAGGGCACTGGAAAAGGTTATAAATAATACATAAGAAAAATAAATTATTAACATGTACCAAGAATAGGAAGTCTGAAGAGAAAAACATGGATGATCTGGGCATTAGGGAACAAGTAAGTAGGAAGACAGGACAAGACCGTACACAGAACTAATATATACGTTCATTTGGTCTTCACCATGCAGGATGTTAAGTAGATACCCACAACAAAATACCAAAGAAAATCACTCTCTCATCAAAGATCGTGAAAGATAGTGTATATTACACCTATTATTAAGCATAGCCTGTGAAATTGCAGAAGAATGAAACAAACCATAAAGCAAGGTAAATTAAACAGTTACAAAACATTAAAAAAACCAACATGATGGGGTAAATTCTTGTAAAGATGAATTCTACTTCCTTAATCTTCTAGTTCCTTTGACCAGGACAACACACAGTTACTAAAAACTGGTTACATTCATTTTCAAATCATTTTTGATAAAATCCTTCATAATGAAAAAAAGTTATAATGAGGTGAAACACGATGTATTATCATGGCATATAAAATGCCTAAGAAACATATATATGCTAGGGACAGAAGCTGTACATAAACCGGTATTAGTCATCAGAAACTGGTTTAAACCTGTACCAGAAGAGAAGTTCAGTGCATATAAACCAGTTTCAAAATGGCTGAAACTGGTTCAAGATAAACCTGGGTGTATGTAGTATCAGACTTAACTGATTTAGGTCAAAGTGGTTTATGAAGCTTCTGTCCCAAACCCTTTTCTGGCTCAAGTTAAATCAAAGTCCCCCAGCATGCTTTGTGGCCCTGGGCTGGGCTGTCTGCTCCAGAGAATAGGGCTGGTGCCATCCCTCTACTCCCTAACTAGAGCAGTGAGGGCTGGCTCACTGGCCACCCCAGGCAAACCCTGGCTGAGGTCTGATACCAGAGAGGGGGGTTAAACTCACCTTCCCCCAAGTACAGAGCTGCCCTGCCCTGTTAGCTTACTTAGTGCTGGCTGTAACTGTGGATTACAAATTCCAGAAACACCAGGAAGCAGGAAGAGGAAGTGATGCGCCACTCTGTAAAGTCCTGCTGCTGTGATTGTGAACTACAAATCCCAGACTTCAGGGGCAGTAGGAAGAGGAAGCAAACACACAGCCCTTGCTGGCTTCGTGCCAGGCAGCCATACTCTAGCAACCCCTGGCTTATGGCTTGAGCCACTGGAGGCACATGGCTGCATTTCCTAAATCAAATGTAAATGTCTGTTCATTTGCTTATGGGTTCAATCTTCGCAGCTTAAACTAACCAGCAAAGACTAAATCAATTCAGCCTCAGGTTTTTTTACTGTCTGTACTTAGCCAAAAAGAACAGATCAGAAAAGGTCAATTTTGTACAATTGTAAAACCAAATAGCATCTCTCTAACATCTACACTAGGACCAGAGTTCTTTATTATAAGGATAATTGATTGGGAAGAGGAGCTGAAATTATATGGGTTAGCCCAAACCTGACAAAATAAAAAGAAAAAAAAAACCCAGAAGAATTTGTATGGGTGAATGGACAAAATGACAGCAGACAAAATTCTGTTGAAAACCATAAGGTAAATCCACTTGAAGAAATTATTTGAATTATTGAGACAGGTTGTTGAGCCCTAAATCAACTACAGTTATTCAAGTAAATGAACAGGACACTAGCTGTCTTGTTTACACCAAAAATATTTTTCCTTGCCTTGCCCTCTATTGCTGATGTTCCCTGGTGTTTTAATCATTTTATAATACAGGTCTTTTCTGGGCCAGATAAGATAATACAGTGCTTAAAAATGATGGCAACACTCTGGAACCCACATATCGAAATACTCATAATACTGGTACCACCAAAGGGTGCAGCTGGGAAATTTCAAATTTCCTTTTCTTAAATACCAGGAGAAAAAAAAAAAAAAAAAAGAAAGAAAGAAAAACAAGTCAGTATGAACCCAGATATCTTTGCTGAATATCCAGCTACTGTCAAAAATGGAAACAAACTGTTGAGAAGTAGAAGGCTAGCAACAGAAAATATTACTTTTACGTTAAACCAACTGATTTCATGTCCTTACCTTGCATACATGGAATTAAAAATATATACAATTAACTTACAGAATCCGCTCAACTAAACATTAAGGAGATTGAAAAGTTAATAGGTTTCAAAGAAGGATTAGACATTCATCAGAATATCCACAATTATATTAGACAGAAAAAGAATAGTAATGGGTAAAACCCCTCATGCTTCATAGTACAAGTCAACTATTAGGTGATGGGGTTAGGGGAAAAGTTCCTCTTTAGGCATGTTATTCCAAAACTGTCTGTTATGGGATGTTTTGAACCTGTACCTGAAATATTTAGAACTAATCTTCTAAGAGAGAAAATATTTGACTAGATGGATCAGAACTCTTATAGCAATTGATATTGCTGTTCTATATTGTAAACCAGAGAATATTGGTCATGCAGTAGAATAATGTGCGATAAAAAATACTATGGGTAAAATCTCTAGTCTCATATCTGCTCTACTGTACCCACTTAAAACAATGCAAAAGATGATAAGTTGAAAATTTAAACAAGACATTTGTTAAATAAAGACATTTCCATAGCTACAAGGAAATAGAAGAGTTGGGCAATCCTGTTCACTCAAACATGTAAGGTTAACAAATGAATCTGAGGTTAAACACACAAAACTTGCATTACCAATGGAGGCGGAACGCATTTGTTTCATGTGATCTTCTATGACAGAAGGGTCTTTGGAGCTGTAAGTTCCAAGTTCAGGGTAAAAACTGGATCCAATATCATCAGGAGGACTGTGTCTTCCCTTTGGATAATTGTTTGCAATTTTGGGATCCCAGTGTGGCAACAGAGGATGGTTCCAATGAATATATTTACCATCAAACTGTGGATTACCATACCAGCTGTAGTAGAATACATGAAAGTTGTAATTAGGAGAAGGCAATTCCTCTTCAAGCTTTACTTCAGAAGCCATAGATGCTTTCATATTATTAACTGCAATACTGTGCAAAACATTGGTGTGCATTATGCTATCTCCCTTTGCATCATTTTGTGGATTTTGCTTATTTTCTAAGAGCGTTGTCCGTTGTTGAAGCTCTGGTAACAGACCAAGTCCGAATGGATCCCCAAAACCAGCTCTGTCAGGTCTGAGAGTCTTCAAGGCCATCATTATGGAGCAAATAAATAAAATAAAAAGTAACAGAATGACACATGTTCTTCTGCGAAATCTTGCCATGATGTCATAGTTTAGTGTCCAAAAACAGGTTCTGAGCTGCAATCAGTCAACAGAAATATATTTTAAATATTTATCATCTAACAATTTAGCAATATTACATCTTTTCATTCAAAAAATAATCTGCTAATGTACAGCTTTCTGAGAGAGAATATTTCAGCTAGTTCACAAAAGTGAGAAAGCTTAGGTGTCTAAAATTTATACTGTCAAAGTATTTAGACAGTGCATCACTAAACAGATCAAGTTAAGCAAATTGCTGAAAACTAATAAGCAAATCAAGTAGGTGAAACTGAGTACTAAATCTAACACTGTTGGCACCAATTCTTGTGCCAGGCTCACAACTTCTCTCTCCAGATTTTAAAATTTTGGCAAGATACGTTTGGAGTCCAAAGGCCTTCTTTCAACAGATTATTTCATGAGAACTTAACTTTCAATTTGATTTCTACTATTCTACTTTCCTCCCTGACAGATGTACTCTAATGTCCTTGCCAATCTATATATTACTTCAGTTTGAGGGCATTAATGATATGAATTTTTACTGTTTGAGAATTATTTGATTTGTGTACATTGACTTGGTTCATCTAAATCCAATGCCTTTCAGTTTCTTTCAACCTAACCCAGCTGCTACAGGCTTTCAGCAAACAATGTATGGGTTTGCAAGTGATAAATTGCTTCTGCAATTATTGCTTTATCCCTTGTCTGCTGTGTAAAGGGATCTCATGTCCTCAGTGATTATGGACTATATTTAGAATGCACATCAAGTCTGTTAGTTGGGCTCTGCTACTCTGTACTGGAAAATTGTTCCTTTTTATTCTTAACTTGACATTCTATCCATCAAGTTTCTTCTATATACTGTTACTGTACCAAGATTTCCTATTTTAATTCATTTTTCCTGAGAACATTAACAGTGTGTCCAGATGTTCCTTGTTATAGTTAAAAAAAAAAAAAATGTATCTAGCATTGTGCAGTATACTAGTGGTAGCTGTGGAGGGAGGGGGTAGAGGCAAGCAGTATACATACAAGTCTGATTTCATTTACTAGTTTTGGCATATTTGTCATAAGATGTTTCTTTTAACTGTTACAGCAAATGTTGTACCCATTAACATGGTTACACTCATTGCTGTCGAGTTTTAATTGTTAGGATGAGGTGCCTTCCAGAATGTAAAATGGGTGGGTCTAACAGTCAGTTTTTTATCCCAACACTTCACTGTAATTTGCCACTTTTTCAGCTCCAGCGGTGGTATCACTAGTTTAGAAGCTGGTTCCCGCTAGTATACCAATTACTACCCCATCCAATCCTGATCTAATAATAATAGCACTGGATAAACAAAGGTCCTGGACAGACATAACACTTCATGAGCATCAAACACCTCTGAAGCACTTGAAAGGAGAGCAGATTAGCGTTCTCCATGAAGTGCTCCAAAAAACAGTTCTGGAAGAACCAACTACTATTTGGAAGCACTGCAAAAAGAAGTGCTTTGTGTTAGGTGTGTCTGGTCTTCAGAGCATGATGGGAGTTGCTGAGTCTTTCTGCATCTCCCAATAGACCCTCACAGTTGTGGGTGGAGGAAGCAGGAGAGCAGGTCAGACAATCAATGATCGCTCTGCTGTGTTCTCAGCAGTCCTAGGGGCTGGAGAACAAGTATCTTTGAAGGTCTATCAATGTCCAGTCTCCCAATTCTGGTAGGGGAAGGAAAAACAGGACCTTTGGTCTCCCAGTTCTGGATGGGGCAGTTAGTGAGTGTTTGACTTTCCTTGGCGATCTGTGGGGGCAGAGAGCAGTGCAAGGAATTGTTCTCTCCAGCTACAAAACTGGGACACTGGAGGGTGAGTACACAGGAAAGTCCTCGTTGGCTGCTTGCCCTGCTGCAGAACTCAGCAACCCCTTGTAATGCTTCCTAACTGGAGAGGATACCACTGCCTGCTGTCAAAACGATTTTGAAGCACTCCAGCTAGGGAACTGCCAGGTGGAGGTGTTGGGGGTTGGAGGGGGAGGGAGGATTGGGGGGGCAAGAGGAAGCAGAAGGGCAGCTGTCCATCTGTCTATAGCTGAAGTGGACAGTATTCTGAAGCACTTCAAAAAGTTATGGTATGTCCAGGGCCAGTTTGTCTATACTAGGAGCTCTATCATTGTGGTTACACTAAAGGGTGTAATCATATATTCACTTACAATGGTTGCAAATCACTGGAATGCTGTGATGTATTAAAATGTAGTACGTGTCAGGGCAGATACAGGCTCATGCACGGATTGTGCTGCAAGTACTCCTCAGACTAGGAGGAACCTTGTAATACATCTTAGAACTGAAGATGGTGCACTACGGTGACATAGCGATCGTGTGAGTCCACACATGCTTGGCAGCTACTCTGCCATAGTGGCACACTCCTGTTTTAGTGCACCGCTATGGCAAAGTAGCAGCACAATCTAACCATGCCCTGAGTGCATGGCGCAGTATGGGCTGTTTCTGCGCTATGCTTTAGTACTTCCAAAAGGAAGTACCAAAGCACAGCACCATAGCAACCTCACCATATGGCAACATACAGACACACCCAAAGTGTTTCAAATCTGTTGATCTTTATTTCTTCCTGCTATGAATAGATATACTGAAACTTCTCACACTGCAAAACCAAAAAGGTCAGAATAGCATGAGATGTTCAGGAACACAAACAGTAGCTGTGTTTGTTAGGGGAGTTCTACCTCTTTTTCCAAATCTTAAGTCTCAGTACTATATGGAGTTTTACATAGGCCATGTATTGTTCTACCTGCTTCTTAGCTCAAACCCTTGTCCACCTTCAGTGGTCCTCAACCTTTCTGAACCGGAAGTACCATAAGTTTTGTGGACTGAATGGCACCCAATTTGAAAACCTACTGTATTTACTCAATTAGCAGACATGGTTCCCACCCCTCCCCTACATTTCACATGGAGGGGGAAAAAAATCTCCTTGCCTTACAATCAAGCATGAGGCAGTGAGGAAACGGGCAGCTGCTGCAGCTCCAGCCTCAATACAGGGTTGGAGCCAGAGCTGCTGCCTGCCCACCACTCCCCTCTGCCACGGCCTCTGCATGCCCTGCCACTGCTCCTGCACGGCCCCCTAGTCCCCTCCCACACTTCTCCTTTTCTCTCCCCGCTCTGCCACACTCCTCCTTACCTTCGCCCTGCGCCAGCAGGCTCCATCCCTGCTGCAGCCTGGAGCAACCCAGGCCCTTAGCAGTGTCACAGAGCCGATGCTATTGCTATGGGGCTGGGCTGGAACAGTAGTGCTGGTTCCATGACACTGTTACAGGGCCAGGTTAGAGCCATGCTCCATGTCTCAGGCTACAGCAAGGATGGAGCCTGCCAGCATGGAGCCAAGCTTAATTGCAAAGGTGGGGGTGGGGGGGGGGGGAGAGGGGGGGGGGGGGGGGGGGGGTGGAAGAGACCCAAGGCTGCAGGTAGCAGAAACAGCATGGAGTGGAGGAGTGGGAAACAGGGGAAGGGGGGATTGGAGCAACCTAAGGCTACAGGGGGCAAGCTGCCTGAAGCCTACCACTTGACCCCCACCGGTTGCCCCATTACTGCACTCCCACCTGCCCTACAACATGCCCCCCCACCAGTGTCTCTTGCATTGTCTGTCCCACCACCTGCCCCATTAGTGCCACCCTCATCACCTCTTCCCCACCCCTGCACCTGCAGTAGTGGGGGGAGGGGGCAAATTTAAGATGATCCTCCAAAAACAGATTTCACACATGGAAAATTAAAATTATTTATAAATTTTCTGTGTGTAGAATCTAATTACTGGGGGGGTGGTCATCTTACATGTAGGGTAATCCTGCATTCAGGTAAATATGGTAAATGCAAGGAGATAAGTACAGGTTTCCCTTGATTTATGCGGTACATGAGTTCCTGGAGAATGCCACATAAATCGAATTCGCATAAAGCAAACCCACTTTATAATGTAAGAAATAGGGATAGGTTCCCATGTCACCTGTTCCTGGGGCCGCTCCCGAACAGGCTGAGGTTAGTGCTGACAAGCGGAGCCCTGGGCGGCATGGGCCATGGCACTCACCCCAGCCCTGGCAGAAGCAGCCCCAGGAGCTGCCAGTGCCAGCTGCCTGCAGCCACGGGGCTGCACCATGCCCTGAACCCCCCAGGGCTCTGCCTGTCTCCACTCACCCCAGCTCCTGCTGCACTGGCCTGGGAACGGGTGATGTCAGCTCCCTGTAGTCACTGCCCTGGTGCAGGCAGCTGGCGCCAGCAGCCAGAGCTGGGGCGAGTGCCGTGCCCCACGCAGCCCAGGCCTCTACTTGTCCACACTCACCTCTGCCCATGCTGGAATGGCCCCGGGAGCAGCCGACACCAGCTGCCTGCACCAGGGCACAGTGCAGCCCAGCGGCTGCAGGGAGCTGGCATCACCCACTCCTGAGGCAGTGCAGCAGGAGCTGGGGTGAGTAGGGACAGGCAGAGCCCCGGGGGGGGTTCAGGACTCAGTACAGCCCAGTGGCTGCAGGCAGCTGGCGCCCCCCAGGGCCACTGCGGCCAGGGCTGAGGTGAGTGGGTGGGTCCATGGCCCTACCCCCCCCCAACTCCACACAGACTTACCTGCTGGGGGGGGGCATCTATGCTGATCACATAAGAGCAAATTTACCTCACATATGCCATGAGCATACTTAGACCTATTATGTTATAAGAGTGAATTTGCATATAAAAGAACCCGCATAAATCGAGGGAAACCTGTACTGTCATCTGCAAGAAGGGCTGGGCCTTGCTGTGGCAGTGGGGGATTATCCAGGCAGGGAAAAACCTGAGCTTGCTCTTATCTGCTTTGTTTCACTGCTGATCACCTCACTTACCTCCTCACACCTCACAGCACCCTTCAACAGATCTGGTAGCACCTCAGGGAGCCCCAGCACCCTGACTGAAAATTACTGGTCTACTTTTTTCCCCAGACCCGCAGAAGAGCACCTTGTGCACAAAAAGCTCGTCTAACAAAGTGGTTCCCAAATCTTTTAGACTGTGGACTAGGAAACTGCAGTCCAGAAGTGACCGGAATGCTGTGGAGAGGCAGCCAACCCTTTTTTATACTAAGTATAAAAAGTACTAGCTATAAAAAAGGGTCGGCTGCCTCTCCGCAGTACGCTGGTCACTTCTGGACTTCTGGTCCGGCAGCCAACCTTCCTGCAGACCAGCAGCCAACCCTTTCTGCCCCAGTACCGGAGGTTAGCAACCTCTGGTCCAACATCTCTTCCAAATAAAATCCTTGCCCCTCACGTATTTTCTGGCCCGCTGCAGGCAGAACAGCGCTCCAGCGCCAACCACGAGCGTGTCACTCCGAACTGAACTGACCGCATCATGCCCACCCCCAGCTTTCAAAAACAAAAATGTAAGTGATAAGGACTGGGATACAGCAGCAGGACTGACACGTACCATTGAAAGGCGCTACCCCTATTATTCATATAACTGACAAAGGAGGGATCTCCGGGGCCCCGATGGGTGTCACTCTGTGCGCTGAAAAAAATTATAACCATTCAAAAAAGCCCAAGTCCTAGCGGGCGTCTCCAGACCAGAGGCGGACCCCTCCAGTTTCCCCGTCTCGGTGCCTACTGGAAACACGTGCTATGAACAGGCAGGCAGAGCCCGGCGGGCTGAGGCGCCCCCGCAAGAGCCACGAGCAGGTCCCAAAGCGCTGTCAGGCGCCCGCAGCGCCTCGGCAACTCGGGGCGCACCACAAGGGAGACGTCGCAGCCCCGGCCCCTCCGGGAGCGGGGGGCGGGGCCGGGCGCGCGCGGGGCCGGGGCAGCCGTTACTCACCGTCCGGACCGAGAGGGGGAGGGGCGCGCAGCGGTTGAGGGCTGCGAAGCTGCGGTTGGAAGCAGAGCTGGAAAACGACGGGAGCCGAGCTGGGTCCTGCCAATGAGCATGCGCGGAAGCGATGCGCAAGCGCAGCAGGGGCCGCTGAAGCTGCTGTGGCCCTCAGCTGGGCCCGCTCCTGGAACCGAGCCGGGTCCTGCCACTGAGCCGGCGCACAAGGGGTGCGCAGGCGCAACAGAGGCCGTTGAAGCTGCCCTCTTGGTCCTGGAGCCTCGTTTCCACGGGGGGGTAGGGGGGAGAGAATTGTCTTGTCCCGGCCCGGCGGAGTCGGCTGTGACGCTGCCCTCTGTTTTAACCCTTTAAGTGCAGCGGGCCCCGCGGTAAAGGCGTGGGACGCCACAGGATCTACTGCTCTTCGTTAGCGCTGGGGCTGTTGCCTAGATGGGCAGTAATGGAAGGCACCGGGGGCAGCCCTGTGGCCTGGGGCTGAAGGCTACCCCCGTGTGGGGAAGGCGGGTGCTTGAGCAGCTCAGCGGAGCTTCGAGACTGGGCTGCGGGGGCCATGCAAGGGAGGCCTGAGGAAGAAGAAAGTCACCCCCCACTCGGGATCCCTTCATCTTCCTCACTTAGCTCTTACCCCAAGGCTGCCCAGCTCCTTCCTGACTGCAAAAAGCCTGCCACCCTACCCCATTTAGATCTGCAAATCTTATGCCACAGCTGCAAAATACCTTCTAGGCTGCAGAGCTGCCCCTTCCACTTTTTGTGTTGATTCATTTGGTTGAGACATGCCAGGGATATTTTATGGTGAAAGAAATGAATGGGCCACTTTTAGATCACGTGAACTATCTGTAAATCATCTGCCTTGGGCTGAAAAGGTAAAAGCCTGCTCTGTGCTCCACACCTCACTTCCCTACTCTTATCCTTTCATGCATTGATTTGAGATCCTTGAGAAAAGCCTTCCTGGGGGAAAAGGATCCGTGCTCGTTCAATACTGCATCAACGTGCAAATCCTGTGTATGGCATAGCTTGAAATGAATGCATTAGGAAAGTCTGTAAATATACATCTAAACTACTCTTTGCTTGTGCGGAGTGTCTGTGATGCAAAATTAATTCAGGATTACCACAACACCGTGTACATACTCTTGGCAGGTTGACAGACAGCCAAAATGTAAGATGTTTGTTTAAGCATGAAAATGGGCTATTAAATATTAATAAAGAAGTCATATATTCCAACCGGTCAAAAAAAGATATAACTAAATATGTACTGCTAGTTTAAGCTACCATTTGATCTCCTTACCACTTAGTGCTTGTATATCCAACTGTAGGTAATTGTGATGTTTCTTATGAAAAAGAAAGTGAAGAGCTGCATATTAGCCCTTTTTCCTATCCGAGCTCTCAAATAGACATGTTTCTGCAATGCTGCATGGATTCCATTGTGGATCACTGGATGTCATATAGCCAGGGAAAAACCTGTCCCATGGCAATTGCGTGGAATAGAGCCCGTCACTTACATCCATGAACTGTGTAATAAGCTACAAAGAAGACTGGCACTTTTGAGTTTGTGAAATACCTTGTGCTGTAGTTCCACATCCTCAGTTTCTTATTCATTTGTTCAAAAAATTTAAGAAATCTTTTCTGATGAAAGACAGTGGTACTTTCACATTTAGGTTGCTTGAACAGTCTGGAAATAATTGGCACTGGAGGAGGAGGCAGCCAATACCTGTTTTACATTCATTTCATAATGCCATATAATTATAATGGTGTATTTGTACAACTGTTATATGTAAATTTGGTTTCATGTATCCCATTCATGAGTATATCAGGTGTGCTTTACTGGTACGCTTCTGCAGAGTGGTGAAAAGGGGTTGTTTGTAGTAGACAGATGCCATCTGGTCCTAATGAGATTACTTACAGAATCAAACAAAAATACATAGTGTTTTTCTACGCTAACAAGACGAAGAAAGAACATAAACAATTATTGATGAATGCTTTCATATACGACAAATTGGCCTGATATAAATTGTTCCTTTAGTTAAATAACACAATTTCCTATATAATGAAAGCATTTTCTCCCATAACTGTCAAAATGTGTTGAATTCCTGTGGTGTGATTTGCATGATCTTGTAAGAACTTATCATCCTGAGAAAGACTGAAAAAATGTGTTGCATATAATGCCTGAAATTCTAGCTATACCAAAATTAATAGCAAAACTCCCACTGACTTCGTTGGAGACAGGAATTCATCCAGCATCTTTACGACTAAGAGTGAAACATATCTTTGAGGATTTCATAGTGGATACATAAGCAGGACAAACAATATATATAGACAATATACAGTGAATAGCTCCCATGGTTCTAATTGAATTCTAACAAAATTGATGGACACAACTGTTATTAGATATTTTCTTTATGGCATCTGAATGCTCAGATGAGAAAAAACAATAACTGCAATGTCTGTTTTTAATGCGGTTCATGGTGAATATTGGATTTTTTTCTCATTAATGGAAATGCATAATAAGTGGGTCAGGAATAACAAGTTCTAATAATAAATGAGTTTCCATATGAATGGGTTGGAAAACCAAAAATTGAAAATCTTAAAACTTGTCATCCATAGTGTTGCTGGCCTCAAAGTCACTGTTACAGTTACTTTTATTTTCTTTAAAACAATTAAAATGTTGATCCTATTTTCTTGTGACTTATAGAATACATATCTCAAGTTTTCCTACTTGCTATACAATATGGGGGAACTTTGATTAGGCTTGTACAACTTCTTTGAAAAGAATTCTTGTACAAAGTACTGGCAAGTAGTAGAAGAATACCTGAAGTCCTTAGCTTGAATAAATTGAGTATGCTTAAGGTTATATAAGCGTAGAAGTATTTATGGGATCCAAGCGTTAGCAAGTACCATACCATGGGAAAATAGCGGAATCATTAAGATCATCTCTGGGCCAAAAACAAACACAAAAACTGCTGTGAGCAGAAGTAAATAATCAGATACATAAAATATGAATAAGCTTTAATCAGAAAAGTAAATTAGGGGTGTCCTGAAAAAAAAAATAGCTAAAAACCATTGAATCTCTTAGCCAAGGTGAAAGGTACTTGTGATACATCAATTGTGGTAAAGATATTTAAAGGAATTCAGTAGCTGTGTACTGTTGAACAGTATCTGTTAACTTTCTATTTACATTTTTTAAAAAGTGTAATTTACTTTCTCTGCCATGTGTAGGGATCTAACCATGAACACCACGTGCCGCTGGAGGCTGGGGGGAGGGAGCACAGCGACCCCCACAGGCAGTGGCGTCAGGGGTGTGGCAGCAACAAGCGAGGAGCTCCTGAAGGTAGCCACCGTGTACTGTTGAACAGTATCTGTTAACTTTCTATTTACATTTTTTAAAAAGTGTAATTTACTTTCTCTGCCATGTGTAGGGATCTAACCATGAACACCACGTGCCGCTGGAGGCTGGGGGGAGGGAGCACAGCGACCCCCACAGGCAGTGGCGTCAGGGGTGTGGCAGCAACAAGCGAGGAGCTCCTGAAGGTAGCCACCGTGGTGCTGACTGCGGGG